CGTATAAAGCGGCAATAATTGGCTCATCGGTCAGCTACATAATTATTTATTTCTGTCTGGCGATTAGCCGGAACATTGCGTGTACGCGACACGAATAGTATGCAACTTAAGGTCTTCCTTCTATGTTTTTTTCCTGAAACGATAATATCAACGAACAATAGCTGATTGCAACAGGCAGTTGCACGGTGATTCTCAACCTTGGCGACTTTCACGCGCATACATTACCCAATGTATAAAATCGGCCCTGAACAAATGACCGGTTTGAGAAAGGAATATTAAACTCGTTCTCCAATGTCATTATAGAAGTGTGCGGTGAACCGTTTCTGATCGCGGACGAGTAGTCCCGTGTATTTATCGAGATAAATGCAGTGACGGAAATTTGTAATCGGTACAATTTTGAATTTTTTGGAAAGTACACACGTACGTTTCTATAAGCATGTTTCCCTCGTTAGTATTAAACTCAATTAATCCGCATCTTTATTCGAATAAGCAAATCGTTTGTATTGCCTCGATTATAGCGTGGTTGCGAATGTTACAATTTAAACGATTGTTATGTTGCGAATAAATCGAGGTAAACCAGAGTTTCACGATTTACGTGGTTCTGGCGATGAATTGGATAAAGGATAAACCGTAAATAGGGTTTTGCGTCGAGTTCCAATTACCGTTAGGTTTGTAATTATTAGTCGAAAACAGGTGAGCATCCTATTTCACTAATTATATGCGTATGTAAATAATAGAATGGGTGCAAACGTAAACGCATACCGCATAATCGCGGCGTAAAAGTTTATCGAAGATACAATTACGGACCTTCGTCGATCGCATGAAATTACGCGTTAATTACGATATATCGTTACGTACCTGGAGGGTTTTGGAAAGCCCTTTTGAATTTTGCTAATTCAGCGATAATTATCGGGCCGCGGTCTCGATCAATTGTTAATCGAGTACCGCGAACTCGTGTAACGCGTCGCGTGAATGACCCGGTTCGTTTCGGGGTGAAAGGAGCATTAATCTTCAAAGGATGAGCACATCTCTTCGAATCTTCGTTCGCTTGGCTGGCTTTCACTGAAAGATCGGCATCGGTACTGAATTGCATCCTTTCTCTTCTCGATTCTGAATACCGAAGTACTTACCTACTTGGTCGTTCTTAATACGATGCTTTCGTGATCACTGTTCGAGTTAATGTTATATGAACTTCGGTAACCTTTTCGACTCGAAAATTGCGCGGAAAAAATTACGAATCCAATGTACTTTCACCCGAGCGAAAGTTTATACATATACGTACGTACATATATATATTTCAGGCACTTGTTCCGCACTTTCTAAATTAGGCCCTTTCCTGCCCAGGCAACTATATATATTTTCATATTTTTATATAACCGAACGAATATTCGAATCACCTGGATATCTCATTATCAGGTATCTCGTCATTTACTACATACGAATCCAATTAAAATTCTGTAATTACAGTAACCCCGCGTACTCGGTCTACCCGGATTTATTTCTGAATATTTTTGTTTCTCTTAGTCCGATTCTTTCATACGAAACGCAGAAATATACACGGTCAGCGTAAATATTTTCCTTTCGTTTCCTTCATAAAAACAGACATTTTTCCAACGAGAAATAGCAAACCGTACAAACGTACATTGTATACAATGATACGACATAACAGGTAATCGAAATACGTTATGAATAAAATAATATTTCGTGCAAATCCAAAATATTTTCACAGTTTTTGTAATTCGCAATGCATATAAACATTATACATGTTCGGGAAATTAAACCAAAATCATGTTATTCGTTCGCGTGTTTTTCGTGTTCTCGACCGAGTAATAAAGTAATTATACCGCAGGTTAGTTGTATCCGTATTGTCTTTGCGTATTCGATTCCCGGTTGCGCTTTTATACGATGCCCCAATAAATCTCTGTGCGGTTACCTAACTCGACGTAAATCAGAAAAAATGGTTAGAAGCACTTTGAACGCGTCGTATCGACCGTTAACCGGTCGACTTTCTTCTGGAGTTCGAAGGGGTGCAGTTTCGTCAATTTAGATAAATGAAATTACGTCGAGACGTCGTCCCCTTTTCGCGCTCCCTCTCTTCTGGTCGACGCGAAACCATTGCCGTGAATTACCTTCTCTCTCGAATACTTTTCAGATAGTCAGCTTATTTTTCTCCTTGCCTAGGAGACGGTTTAAGGTCCTTGGTGTATTAAAATGTTGGCCGTAGAGGATACTCCGATATCGAATTATTTGAAGAAAACAAAACAATTCTATCGTCGCTGAATTGTATATCTCCGTGCAGAAATAAGCATCGCGATATCTTCTTTGTACGCTGTACGCTTTATTCGAGTTCCGAGGTAATAGCCTCTTTTTCTTCGAGTCGTTTATTCGTATCTTTTAGCAACGACACTTGAACAAATAAATGACGAATAGCGAAAGAAACGAACTTGGAGCGTCGTTAATATCGAAGACGAAATAGCTTATAAGTCGTGTCAGGTTCAGGTGTTAATACCGATTCCTGAAGCCTTGCTAAAGCGTTTGAATCGTTAAGGGAGGCGGTGGTCGTTCGGCAGGATTTATAAGAACCATGACAAGCACAAGTTTCCTTCGGAAATAATTATTTCGTAACGAGCTCTCCCAGTCATCCGTTAGCGATGTAGCGGGCTTTACCGAGAATGAATGTGTCCATAGGGGGTGAAATTTAATTTTGATAAAGGAGGCTTATAAGCACGATGTCGAGGATCGTTCGAGTCGCAACGTTAAAGATACGTTGTTAGGGTTGTTACTTTTCCAAGAATATGGATTCCAAGGGCCTCGATAAGACTTGCCGGATATTACCTCACGTTTCGCTCGTATATTTCTTATCGTCTCTACAGAGTAGCTTGCGAATCCTCAATTACCTTTATAAGAAGGTTTACCGGTCCATACGCGATGCTTCGTTCGTCGCTACAAACGTACGTACAATCTAGGGGATGTCGGGATAAGATGGCTGTAAGTTGAGCGTAAATAAGAGTAACCCTCTCGTTTCCTCCTGAAAAAAAATAGTGGCTCGACGAAACGGTCATACGGTTTTAGTCGATTCTTATTGATAGTCTATAAGATACGTGCTACGTCGGATCGCGTATATGTACGCGACAGTTGGACCGTTAAAGCGCTCTCCTTAAATCTTTGCAAATCCTTTAAAAATCGTAAAGCCGAATATCCTACAAGATGAAACGTTGAACGTTCGTTTGAAACTTATCTCTTGGGTCTCGAAATCCGACGCTTTGTATTACTCTCCCTGTACACGTTACATTTCCCTCGACGAATTAACGAGGAGCAGAAATATTAGGATGGATGTGGGATCGAGATACGGAGAATACCTCTTTTCTTCCGGCAGCGTATTTCAGACGAGAATTAGCGCCGGAATTAAATGTTTCGTTTAATCTGTTCTATCGGAACACCGAGTCCAAGACAAATCTGAGCGATCAATTTGCACGATAGCGTAACCCCCTTTTAAACTGCATCGAATTCTTCAATTTTTTAATAACATTTCCTGTTAAACGCGATCAATTTTGCTCGCGCGGAAGCTCGTCGAACGGTACACGAATATCGTTGCGTCGCGTAAAATTGGAATCGTTTTAAAAATGTCGAGAGAAGCCTTGATTTGCTCCGTTCTCGAGTTTGTCACGTTTGTAGATCTGCCAGGTTGACTTCCCGTTCACCGCTGAAAGAGAGAGAAAGAGAGGAAAGCACCGTTTAGTATCCGAAGCCTCCTACGGTCCATAAATCCGCTTTGCTCGAGGCTTTCGTAAACGCTGAAATATCGTCCATGGAAAGGAAAAGTAACAGCAGGATTTGCCAAACAGACCCTTCGACGAGGATCACTTTTATCACGGATATCCTGTTTATTCAGTCATGCATTGTACCGATCCTTCGAGTGTTATAAATCATTGGGCCGTGTATCGTGGATTACTATATTCTTTCCTCGAATGAAGTAACGAAAAAGAATCGAGACCTTCGTCGTTCGCGAAATTCGCTCTAATAAAAGGCACGATAGAACGACGACACGAATTTTATTTAATCGGGAAGTCGTGGAACGTCGATGATCCCCGTTACTTTAATGATTTCGATTAAAATGCATCGTGTTGCTCGACAACCGTTCGCGTCGAGCGATTTCGAGGACATTCAGCGCTCTAATCGATATTTGTTTCAATTTTCTGCCGCTAACCGAACGATTATTCCCGATGAATGGTTTTCGAATCGTCTCGCATTCAAAGTTGATCGCGCGTGGAAGCCTAAGGCTGCTTTCACACCAGGGCTGAATGGAATTTAACGATCACCGCTGACCGTGATCGAAATTGCCGGAATCCAGATAGAAATTGAAATTCTCCCTTCGACCTTATCCGCTTTCGCTCGAGGTCCTTTTAATCGTTCTCTCGATGATCTTCGGCGGCAACGACGTCAACTGTCGCAGTGAAATTTGACGCGGAATAACATGGTCAAACGCGGATCAGTTTGTCAGCAGTTATCGCTATTGTATTTTCTTCGACGTAGCTTTTCAACCGGATCGATGGTTCGGGCTGAACGAAGCTTAAAGCAGCTTTTATCTTGCAACGTGACGCTTTCCGTGCCACGAACAAAGTTCTCATCAGGAAAGTTGAACGTCGCGTTAAAAAGGTTCGAAAGGTAAACAGAAAAGAGGCGAATTGTTGCGACACCGAATGGAGCGCCGAACCGAGTCGGTTCTAAAGTAAAAATTGACGGAATTATCGAAGCGAAAGGAGGACCACGATCCAGTGGGTAAAAGAAAATCTCGTTAGATCGGTGCGCGTTCCTGCAAAAACTACCACGACGCGTTTTGAAAAAAATGTCTCTTTACGCGCTTTGATGTCGAGTCGAAACCCTTTCGACGTTCAAGGAATTACGTGGACGAACTAAATTCACGGTTTCTGGATATTTTAAGTTCGGAAATAGTAGGCGTTGAAAGTTGCAAGATTAATGATCTGGTGTGATTGTTACAGGACCTGATGACGAAGAGCAAGCAGAGAAATTGGCGGCGTTTGCTAGCCGGTGGCTTGGTCGTTCTCGTCGTGCTCGGTTTAGTCGTCGCAGCGGCGATTCTTTTAACTGGAAGCCCGGATTCCTCGGGCTCGAGAACGCCAAGCGCACCTGGTATTTCCCTTGAAGAATGGCTCGCTGGCTCGTTATCTCCGAAGAGCTTCAACGGCACGTGGATCAGCGGTAAATATCTTATATTTCTTCCGGTTATATAGCACCCGTTTGCTACGGGAGTCGCTTCGTTTTATGAAAAACCGATAAGAGAACCGCGGACAGCTCTTTCCGTCGCGTCGGTGAGAACAATCCGCGAGAAAATATTTGACGAACGGTTAAATAGAATGTACGGGTAGAGGTAACGGAGGCTCGAGTCGAGAAACTAGCCGATAGTGTATCGATGTACAGCGTGAACTATCGAGTTGCCGCGGCATGTCGGTGCATGTGATCGAGTAAACGCGTATTGGTGAACGATCGAGGTGCACGGGGTAAAGATACAACTGCGAAATCCCGATTAATCGGTGAAATCTTTATTGCGGTTGTCCGACGCAGCAGTTTGCAATCGAGGGAATTTGACGTAGGCAGTAATTAGAGAGAGCAAGGGATCATGGATCTGGGCGAGAGTCGTCCCTTGCCGGTAGAGGCTCAGGCTATTGCCGCAAATTGAGGGTTTCGATGCCGGCTGCATCTAGCCATACACGTTTCTCTGTCTACCGGATGGCACAACGTTAATTTCCCTTTGCTTATACGAGCTATCGATTTGCGGCATTACGTATGGCAAACATCATTTTCAACAATCATCGAATTATACCTTGATGAGTGGGCGGTCACGTACCGAAATTAATTCTCTGCTTGTTTTTCCTTCGATTCTTGCTGTTTCGTAGTTGAACGACGCTCGCGCCAACTACAAAAATTCCACGTTGGAATTTTATTGTTTCTGCGAGGTATAAAGGAAACTGGCGAATACGACGTCGATGGGAAATACGTTGTACGAAGGAACGCAATTTTCTCACGGACAAAGCCGAAATTTACCACGTAGCGATACACAATTTTCAGCGGAAATTAAATATTTCTTGGGAAATAATGGTTCCGCCGCGTCGCTTCGACGACGCGGAAAGATATCGTTTCTCGAACACCCTGTTTTTGATAATAAAGAAAAATAAGATTCGATATCGAGAGGGCAAATATTTCGATAAGCAGACAATTTTTCACCGCTTCCAACCGCTACCGGAGGTTTCGCTCCGTGATTTTCCCGATACCGGAGATCAGTCGATAAGCCATAACCTACGTAAATTCTGTCGTCCATCCTGTCAGCGTCGTCCCGCTAACTTGTTCATATATGTATACTTTATTTTAAATGCCGCGAACGAAATCCGACAAGAGGATCGTTCGAAAGAGAAAAAGAAAATATCTCCGGTTGATACTTAACTTTCAAGAAGCGGTCTCTACTCTCTAAAATGATCAGCCTTTCTTTGGGCAATAGCTGACAGGCTCGGTGCCTCGTCACGATTGCCTCTTCAGTCTCGGGCAATTTGCCAGAAGCTACTTTCTGTCTTAGCGACGCCTTATCGTCTCCTTCTCGACCAGAAAATTTTCTCTTCGGAATGGTTTGTATCGTTCGTTACGCGCTACGGTACGGACATTCGCACATTCTACGCGACACTCGCTACTTTGGCGTTTACGCTATTCAAATGTATCTGAAAGTATTTTCATTAGAGGCGCGTTTAAAGACGCCTCTAAAGTCCATCGAGATTTCGAGCGGTGGCTATGGAAACGCTTGGAAATTGATGTGTCCTTCTGTACGCGTGGTTGGCGCGCACAATCGTCGTTGAATTCAAAGCGAAAACTTTCGAGTTCGTAACACGGCCACGCCGAATTAATTCAGCGGACGGAATCTTTGTTCCACGGAGAAAGTGAAGTTTCTGGGGACCGAACGTTCGAACGATAGTTCGCGCGATAGTTCCAACAATGTCTATAAATGGCCGAGTGTCGAACTCGCCCGAAGAATTTCCATTTAGTACGCGGCGGGTGTCGCGAAGAAACGATCGCTAATTCAAAGATAAATCGTCGAGATCGATCATAATATATACTCGGCACCGTCGTTTATTCGTTCTCACCGAATAAGTACTCGCTGTTCCGATATGATCTCGTCGAGTTTTTTCAACGCTGTACAGCGAACTCGATTGCTGATTCTGTGAAACGTAAACGAGACAATGGCCCGAGAGCAACGTTGCTCGAATTATCGTCGGCGGGAAGACAACGACGAGTTAATGGAATAGACATTAATCAAATTTTCAACGAAATATGCTTTTTAAATGGCCTTTGAAGCCCACCGCTCGAGCGCAGCCGGCAGTTTTCAGATTAATTATGTCCATACAATTTCGTCCACGCATCAACGTTATAATCGACCTGTCCCGTTGCGCAGTAGATTATCAGTTAATTAAGGATTCAGAAACCTTTGAAGTTAACTTGCACGGACCGCGAACTCGTTGATTGCTCGCGTCGATGATTAGATTCGAATTGGGTTATCGCGCAGGAGCTGTCAAAAACCTCTTCGTCGAATTCGATTAAAGCTACGGGAACTAAGTTTATGCAACAACTTGGAAAGAAGCAAAGTTAATTCTTTCTTTCTTCGCGAGTAAAATCGTTTAAGAGCGCAGGCTTATCGTTGGGAAAATTCATTAACCGTCCGTCGACGGTATCGCTGCTTTCCATCCTGAACTCGTTCTTTTGCGAATACCGTGTTCTTTGCCTAGTCTACGAGTTGATTGTGGAACGATTAAAAAAGTTGTTGAATACGAGAGACGGGAGTTCACTGAAAGCTGGAAAAATAGACGTTCATCCTATTATTTCTGTCACGCGCTCGCTCGTGCCACCTCGCAAACGCGTACGAACAGCTCGAAAGCTTCTCGGGTAACCCGACGATTTTTACCCGGAAGGATTTTTAGATTGACCCACATGCCAGGAATTAGAAGGACTCTTCTGTTCGATTAATCGACCAAAACTCCGTAAATCACGCGAACTTTCCTCCTACGAAAGTAAGTCGAACGAAGAAAGAAGAAGAATGATCGTTACCGGCCGTTTCTTCTTGAAACCACTCGCAATTCGGTTAATGGAACACTCGTATGTTGATTTCGAACTTTACCGGCCAATTCCATGTTATTCTCTCTTTAATATCGCGACGGACGAACGCGTATTTACGGGACAAGGGAAAACTCGTTTCCGTCTTTTGGTCGGGCTTCCGTTTCATCGAAACTTGTCGACATCCCTTCGAAAATCTTTACGCGACAGTCTTGCTTCGCGCGAGTTCTTCCGCTAAATTCATTCCCTGCCAGATGCGTTTCTCTCCTTTTGTTCAGCCGGGAATCGTCGAGTACTCGCTTGCAAGCGAATGTAAATACGGAACGAGAATGTTGTTGCTGGTCCGCGTGGAAACGTTCTGACCGCGCGGTTTTCTTTTCTTTCTCTATTTTTAACCGCTTGCTCGCTTTTTTATTTATCTCCTGGCGTGGTTCGTTGATTCAGAAAGGACGGCGAAAAGAGGTAGAAATAATTACTCGGGGAAATTGTGTTCCAACTTCCTCGTTATAATTTCGTCGCGTTCGTTCCTCCCTGTTTGCTAGATTTTCGATGATTATACCTATAAAATATTACTGTAAGACTAGATACGACGACGTTCTTCGTCGTTTAGATTTTCAAGATTTTTGGAGACCGGTTCCCCGTAATCGGGTGTCGGTACTCGGATTTACCGCCTGTTCGGTTCTAGAGTCGAGACTCGAGCCATTGCGCCGGATACAAAAGAGAAAAGGGACATAAGTTAAGCGAGGCAAAGTTTGCCGGTAGGGGATACGCAAAAACGTAAAACACAAGGAAGTTCGTAAACAGCTCGAAAGCAGTTTGCGAACTGTTCGTCATAGCGTGCGCTAGGCAGCTCTTAGCCCGTGCAAAGAAGAGGACATTTGCGAGCAATTGCTTTGATCTTATCGCGCGGTCGAAACAGCTGTAAAAACGGTACTAGGTAATGTACAGAGTAAAGCCAAGTTACTCGGAAACTGTTCGTCCACGAACCTGCTAAGGCTTTTTTTTCTTCGAGATCGAATCGGATGGCGTTTTTACGGATCCGTTGTAAACAGCTGTTTTTATCATTTGTCGTCGTTGCAATATGCAACGAGCGTATGACGTGCGTAGAAGGTAGCCGAAACAAAGTACGTGTCGCGAAGCGATATTTATTCAGCCGATCGAGCGAATATCGAACGAAACGGTTCGCTGTTTGTCCTCTTTTAACGAACGACGCGATATTCGCGAAAGAATTTGTACCGTTTGGAATTTGATCGATCGAACAACTATCAGCTTCTTCAAAAAAGATGAATCGCAACATTTGTCGGGTAACTAATAGCTCGCTATTAGTCCTGGTATAAATCACCATCGATACGCGTACATTTATCAACACGGAGGCAATTTTTTTCCGAACAATTTCGCGAGTATTAGGCAACACGCGTACAACTGACGCACACACGCTGCGAATTCGTCTCTGGTCGGTTCACGGTTTATCCAGCGAACGCGTGCAGAGTCACCTGAATTTTGCAAGGGGGATGAAAAAGGGGAGTTGGTCGGGGTAGTCGACGTGGTTGCGGTTCAGCCTAGCGTGAAACTCTCATCAACCACCATAATTACCGCCATAGAGTATACCTTTCTCGTTCTCTTCCATCCGTGCATCGTCGGTCGGTGCAATCAACTCGTCTCTGACTCCGTTCTTCTTTGCTTCTTCTGTTTCCGTCATTTCGAGCACCGTATATCCGCGTTCTCATCTTCGTCCCGTGACCCACGACTTTTTCACCGTCCGACCGCGAACGTCTCAAGTCGAAAAAGCGACGGGAATGGAGCCGTGGTCGTTAATTTTTGAAAGAACCTTGCGAGCACACTCGCCGAAATCGATTGGTATTAATTTCCCGCTCGTTCTCTCTGTAATTGCATCCATTGTGCCGTTTCTTTCGCGCTCTCGCCCACGAACACACACGCGCACCTACACGTACACGTAGACGCGCGAGTGGCCGCAGGACGAGATGTGTTTTCTCTGTTCGCTTGATCGCGAAAGATGGCTCGGTTCGTCAGACCGTTTTTCATTGTTAGCCGAATTTCCAGCGACGTCCAACTTGTTCCCCTTTCGTTACGTTAGAAAAAAAATAGAT